CCTGCCTCTGCCTCCTAAATGCTGGAATTAAAAGCATGGGCCATCATGCCTAGCTCTGATCTTTTAAGACTAAAGACTATCAATTTGAAAATCAGTAGAGAAAACACAAATTGGCACAGTGGCACATCTCTGTATTTCCAGCAGTCAGAAAGTTGAGATGGGAAGATTGTGAGCTGGAGGGTAGCCGGGCTACATGAGACCGCCTCAAAACTCAAGAAATGGGAAGAGGAGGGAGGAAGCCCATGGTTTTTAGTGTACTGATTAGAAGAAAGAATTTGTTTTGGCTCCAATTTAAGAAGCTGGTTTGGGGCTAGGGAGATGGCTCTCGGGTAAAGGTGCCTGCCATCAAGCCTGACAACCTGGATTCAGTCCTTGGAATCTACACTGTTTAAGGAGAGAACTGACTTCCTTAGTTGTCCTCTGCTCTCAATAACAGCACACATGCACACGCACACACACACACACACACACACACACACACATACAAATAAAACATAGAAAGAAATTAAATATATAATTCAAAATAATGGAATAGCTAACTAAATTAACAAAATAACATTATCTAAATTTATGTAATGGTGAGATACAAAAAAAATCAAAATAAGTTTATAAATTTCCAGGAGAAAGCCTGTTTTTTGTTTTTGTTTTTAAACAAACATAAACAATATTTATACTTAAAAGGCAAAAAAAATTCAGAGTCTTTTTGAAATACCTTTTTTTGTTTTTGATACAGGGTTTCACTGTATTGTTTTGGAGGCTGTCCTGGAACTCGCTCAGTAAACCAGGCTGGCCTCGAACTCACAGGGATCCGCCTGCCTCTGCCTCCCGGGTGCTGGGACTAAAGGCGTGCCCCACCAGTGCCCGGCAACATATTTTCTAAAACACTTTCTCCTGGCCATCTTCTGTTTTCTCTTTCAATGTTTTCAGTATTTTCTAAGTTTTAAAAATAAGTGCTGTGTAATCAATATGGTGGTTTCTCAGAAAATTGGGAATCGATCTACCTCAAGATCCAGCTATACCACTCCTGGGCATATACCCAAAAGATACCCCATCCTATCACAAGGACATTTGCTCAACTTTGTTCATAGTAGTTTTATTCATAATGACCAGAAACTGGAAACAACCTAGATGTCCCTCAACCAAATAATGGATAAAGAAAATGTGGTACACTTACACAATGGAGTATTACTCAGCTATTAAAAACAATGACATCATGAAATTTGCAGGGAAATGAATAGAACTTGAGAGGCTAAGTAACAAGAAGGGCTTTCCCTGGGAAGGGGAAATAGAATGTGGGTGGACTGAGGGCAGGTAGGGTTGGGAATAGGAGGGATCAAGTGTGTGTGGAGGGAGGGGAGAAAATACTGGGAAAACCAACTAGAATTGGTAGGCATTTCAGGGGTGAACTGGAAACACAGTGAAATGGAGAACACAGAGCCTGAACCAGCCATTTTCTGTAACCAGGCAAGGCCTCAAGTGAGGGACTGAGATACCAACTCAGCCACAAAACTTTTGACCTACAGCTTGTCCTGCCTGTAGAGTGTTCTGAGACCGGCAGAATTATCGTCAAAGAGACCAGAGAGACTTTATCCAGTAACTGGTGGGAACAGATGCAGAGTCCCACAGTCAAACATTAGGCATAGCTTGGGGAGTCCTATGGAGAAGGGGGAGGAAGGATCAGAGGAACCTGAGGGGTCAGGGACACAACAAGAACACAGCCCACAGAATCAACTAACTGGAACTCATCGGGGCTTGAAGAGATCAGGGAGTCTGTAGGGTCTGACCTAGGTCCTCTGCATATACGTTATGGCTGAGTAGCCTGGTGTTCTTGTGGGATTTCTAACAATGGGAGTAGGGGTGGGGTGGGAGGTAGGGGGTGGTTGCTGACTCTTTTTTCTACTTATGGGACCCTTTCCCTCCTAGTGGGTTGCCTCATCCAGCCTTGATATAATATGCCTGGTCTTATAGCAGCATGTTATGTTGTGATTGGTTGATGCCCCTGAGAGGCCTGCTCTTTTCTGAGGAAGAGTGGATCTGGAGCAGAGGGGAGGTTGGGTGGGGGTGGGAACTGCAGTCAGGAAGTAATATTTGAGAGAAGAATAAAAAAGTGGAAAAAAAAATAAGGGCCACTTGCTTAAGAGACAAGAATGATGCTCTACTCACACCACACTTCCCCTCTTGTGGGTTTGATTCCTAAAGTTATCTCTTATATTTTCGAAACACAGAATGCTTTGTGTCCAGGAACACACACACCCAGAAAGCAGCTCTGCACTGGATGACAACTGGGTAGCCTCAAATTCAAATTTGAAACTATCTACCTGTAGACAGTGACAGATTCCACTGCCTGAAAGCTGTCCCACAAGGTTGCTCTTATTTCACAGCTGATAGAAAGCAGATTATCTGATACTTTCACCTGCCAGCTATAAGCTGGGGTTCCCACTCTACCTTCCAAAGATTTGGCTATGGGGGGTCTCCAAAAACAGGTTAACATTACTGGTTCATTAGAAAGGACTCTTGGCTAGGCAGTGGTAACACACATCTTTAATCCCAGCACTGGAGAGACAGAGGCAGGTGTGTCTCTGAGCTTGAGGCCAGCTAGAGCTACACAGAGAAACCCTGTCTCCCAAACAAACAAGCAAAAAACAGAAAAGAAAGAAAAATGAAAGTAAGGACTCCTGAAGGGATGCTTAGAACAAGGTTCCCAGTCCCTCCCTGGACACTATACGCCATGAACTAGCCTGTGTTCCCCTTTCTAGAGCACCCCTCAACCCAGTCTTTCTTATAGAAGCTCTTTTAGGTAGCCATGACTGGTTAAATCACTTGCTGGCAAACAGTCCCTATCTTGAGCCTCAGGAGTCCCAGTTTTCAGTCAGCTTCTTAGCATAAAAAGACTTATTTCTCCAGAGACTGAGAGACAAAGGTAAGAAGCTCTATGCTGGTAGGCTGAACAAAGAGCAAATGGTCCATTTCACAGTAGGTATCACAAAAAGCTTCAACATTCTATCCCTGTGGTTATGGTGTTTCAAAATGTCTTGAGGAGTTCCCTTCAAGTGAAGGGATTTTGCTAGCATCATTTTCTCAGAAACATCTTCATCCTTTTCAACACAACCACTTCCTTCAATTATGCCAATAAATCTGGGCTTTTAGTTCCTGAGGTTGCATATGCAGAGTCTGCTGAAAGAGAGCAGGGCAACTGGCTCAGTCAGCTCGGACTTATCAATCCCACTGGCATTTGGTTGTAGGCTTTTGTTTTTAATTTCTTTTCTATTTTAGTATCTGTGGGGTGTGTGTGTGTGTGTGTGTGCGCGCGCGTGCGAGCGAGTGTGTACGTTCATGCATGCATGAATAAACAAGAATCATCGTGGAAAAAGTGTGTTCTTACAAACTCACATTACCCAGTTTATAAATGAAAAGAATGTCAAGGAAGAATACTAGTAGTGTTTGTGAAGTGAAGTGGGAACTAAAGGCATCTTTATAGTCTTTGATATTGTAGAAGCTTGGAGGCACATTATTGTTTCCTCTCCGAATAACCTGCAAAGCATGACCTTTGTCTCCCTTAAGCACACCCAACCCACCCATAGAGGTCAAATGTTAATCAAGCACCCACAGACAGCAGCAAACAACCTCTAAGTAGGTCTCTCCATTGATAGGCAGCCTCCCACCTGGAGGTCTCAGGACAGTAAACAGTAGCCTGGCTTCACTGTCCTGGGCATAGGGTCTTTCCCAGGCTATCGCAGGATGTTGTACACTCTACAATGAAACAGCTAGACCTGTCCACCTCCACAGGAATCTTGGGCTTGCTGTCTTGTTTGGTGACAAAGTACATTTCCAGAGAGAGTGACCCATTGTGGTCACCATGGAAGTCAGCAATCTCTTATCTTTACAAAGGAGGTAATTCCTAAGTTTGTTTTTAGGCCAAGCAGCCATCCCTAGGGGAACACAGTAACTGCAGACCATCCAGAAAAAACTCATGCAGGAGTGAATAAAATGACTAAGGACATCAGGTAACGGGGAAGCAGCCCCCCCCCCATTTTCAGTGAGAATTTGATGAGATCCAAATTTAGATGAACAGTAAAAGAAACTGCATACGTGTGTGTATGCTCGTGTGCATGTGTGATTTACCTGTTATTTTCATATCACTAACTTCTTTACTCCTTTTATTAACAGATAGATCAGAGGGAAACCATCCTTTCTAAGGGGAACTGGTCCCACTAAATACACTGGCCAGGCCTGCTCTGTCACTAAGTATTAACTTTGACAACTTTCTCACTCTCTTTTTAAAATTACATAAAAATTTGAGGGGGTAAGGGGACAGGCAGCACTTGCTACAGTGTGTATGCATATAATGGTCAAAAGACAATTTGCAGGAATTGGTTCTCTCCTTCTACCATGTGGGTTCCAGGGAGCAAACTTAGGTCTTTAGGCTTAATGGTAAGTTCATCTTGCCAGCCTATTCCCCACTCCCTTTGAGTTAGGGTGTGACTATATAGCTCAGACTAACCTTGATCCTGAGTGCTGGGATCACAGGCATTTTCCATTATGCTTTGTGTCACCTCTTTACTGAAAAGGCCCCTATGGTTGAGAATTCAGTGGCTCCTGGACTGGCACTTTCCCCTCCCACATGCCTAAGTGCCAGTAGAGAGGTAAAGAACTAAAGATTCTAAAATCAGAAATTGAGTGATTTGAGACAAGTCACCTCACTTCTAGCCTTGCCCGTGAAAGACAGAAGGCAACTATGTCCACCACGTTTGGTAACTGTGTGTGAATTGCTGGGCATAGGCCCAGCTCACAGCAAGTACTTAGGGCAGGCTATTACTTCTACAATGTGACTGGAGACAGGTCTTATATTTCTCATTGGGAAAAGTGGTCTAGACAAAATCAGGCACAGTATCTAACAGAGACTGTACAGGCAAATGGTAATGGTAGATAGTTGTACATAGTAGTAACCTTATGGGTGATATTTCTAACTTTTCTCTATTCCCTTCATTGTCAATCACAAGGCTGCAGGAATCACACAGAAAAGTAGCTACTGAGCCGAAAAAAGGAGGCAGACACAGGAAAAATACCCTGGAGTCCATGGTCCAGTACATTCAAAGGTGAGCAATAAAACTCTGTAGGTGGAAGAAACAAAAAGTCCCCAATGCCTTTCTTCCTTCCTGCTTAGATTCTTGTCTCTAAACAGAAACAGACTGGGAAGGACACCTGTGATCTTCTGGAAAAAGAAGTGCAGTGGGGCTAGGAGAACAGGTGACAAGGTCTGATGTACACAAATGCTGGGCAAATGCAGCACAGCAGCTCATTCCAATCAGAGGCACATGCAAAGTGCAGAGGCATCACAAATGTCTGCAGGAAACATTTGTGTAGTGTCTTCCCCTTCACCCAGAACCACTGAAACCAGATCATTAATTCCAGAGATGCCTGATGTCAGGGCTGTCTCCTAGCAGCTGTGCCCTCCCTCTCCTCTGCAGTCCTTGGCCAGCCACACCAAGGAATCTTTTCTGGCAGCTGGACATGGATGAGTGTGACCTAACTTGGGTTATGGAACACAGAGGGATGTGTGCTGGAGCTTCTGGCAAGGATTACTCCTTTATAAAAGGACACACCTGAGAAGACATTTTACTTCCTGTATTTGCAGACAATGAGAAGACAAATGTGATAATCAGATTGGTAGCCATCTTGGTGCCATGAGGAAATGGGTATGAAGGCAAGAAGAAGAGATGGAATCTGAGTCCTTGGTGATGATTAACTAAGCAGGAACTTGCTGCTACTCCTGGCCTTACATGGAATAAACATGCCTATTGCTTAAATCACTGTAAGCTGGATACTTTGTTATGTTTGAGCAAAAGCATACTAAATTCACATAGCAACAGATGAACTGATGCCAAGTGGAATTGCCTAAATGGAACCATCTATAGCTAAAAATCCACTCCATCTTTACCAACAAAAAATTAATTCAAAAGACACACTGAAAAACTTGAAATGATTCATGTTCTCACTGAAGTCTTTGTGCTGGGATGGAACTCAGGGCTGTTTGTGTGCTAGGAAAGTACTGTACCCTTTAGCTGTATTCCAATTCTTCATTTACATGGGTATGGGTGTGTGTGTGTGCGCGCGCCCGCGTGCAACCCACCCGTGCGAGCAGACCACAGAGCATGTGGAGGTCAAAGAACAACCTTCAGGAGTCAGTTCTCCCCTCCCACCACAGGGTCACTGGAATTGAACTCAGGTTGTCAGGCAGCAGCAAGCACCTGTACTGCTAAGCCATCTTGCCAGCTCTAATTCTCCGTTTTTGGAGACCCTATATAGCTCGGGTTCACCTTGTGATTCTTCTGCCTTTGCTTTCAAAGTGCTGGGATTACAAGCATGTGTCACCATGCCTGGCCTCTCCTTAGTCTTTGTACTGCTTAGTTTTATGTCAGCTTGACACAGGCTAGAGTTATCTGGAAAAAAGGAATTTCCATTAAGAAAACACCCTTACTAGGTTGACCTGTGGGCAAGACTGTGGTGTGTTTTCTTCACTGGTGATTAATGTGGGAAGACTCAGCTCACTGCAGATGGTGTCATCCCTGGACTGGTGGTCTGTGGTGGTATAAGAAATTAAGCTGAGCAAGGTGGTAAACAACTCTGTATCATCTCCTGCCTCCAGGTTCCTGCCTTGTTTGAGTTTCTGCCCTAACTGCTTTTGATGATGAACTGTAATATGGAAGTGTAAACAAAATATATCCTTTCTTTCCCAAGTTGCTTTTGGTCAGGGTGTTTTATCACAGCAACAGAAACTAAACTACAGACAGTCTTAAACAAAGGTTATGAGTACCAGTACCCAAAGGGTATAACCACATAAAAATATTGTGGGAAAACAAAGGAAACACAATCTACTTTTGGTTATTAATTTTCTTTTGGGGTGAGGGGAAGAGCGGGTGTGTATAGGTACCTGTGAACATATGTGCATGTCTATGGGGAGATCATGTGTCTTTATGACTAGCTTTTCCACTTTATTTTTTTGACAGGGTCTCTCACCGAATCTGGAGTTCACCCATTTGGGAGACTGCCTGAGAAATCTGTCTCTGCCCCCCTAGTGATGGGATTGTAGGTTGTGCCTCCACACTCTGATTCTACAGGAGGACTAGGGATCTGAAATCAGGTCCTCAGGCTTGTGTGCCAAGTACTTTTATTCACATTTCTCTAGCCCTTCTCCTTCTCCTTCCTCTTCTACTTTTTGAAAGTATGTGAATTTTCTGCTACTCTTCCATAGTGGGATTTTAAATGGATATAGTATGTTATTTTAAACAATACCAAAGAAAAACTATGTAAGTCAAAAGTAGTTATTATTAGGTTCCCCAAAGCAAGGCTTACTGAGGTGAACTTTTTATCTACGGAAAAAGCCATAAATGGGTAAAAACTAGTAACTCTGAGACAGTGAACAGAAGCAAACAGACAACTTGAAACAAAATAAAATTTGGAAGGAACTTTATTTCCATTTTGTAGAGGGAACCTTCACCTTCACAACATACTTTCCCCACTGAAACTGGAGTTTCAAGTCGGTGTTTATAACAACACTGTTACTGTGGAAATAGTTGGTTCAATGTTATGAACTTGCAGCTGAATAAAGTAAGGTGTGGAACAGAAGTCTTATTTAAACAGTGGCAAGACCCATAAAACATTAAAATGGCAAGCTGAATGGTGATGAGTCAGAGCACCATATGTTTTAATGTGAGGGCCATACTTGTATTTTCCCCTGATGCCTGGCACAATGGGATGCTTCTTTTTAATTTAAGCTTATTTTTGGAAGCCTATTATCATCTCAGCTGCTTCTGGAACCCCAAATATCTAAAATATTGCTATCTGCTGTATAAGGCAGGCTCCATGTCATTAAACTGATGGTGCTTCAGAGTTGCTGCTGATCATCGTGACACTGGGGAAGTCACAACACACACAGCACACGAGCTGTGGTTTCAAAACAATATGTGATCCATTCTATTCAACATGGAAGTGTTGCTACTCATCATATAACATCACTGCAGATGTGCAGTGTGCCTTTTGTTTACGGCTTCACCAACTTTTTAGGCATAAAGCAGCCGGAAAACATGAACCCAGCGTGTCCCACACCCTGCCACCAGCATCAAGTCTCTAGCTTGTTCCAGCCTTTGAATGGGGTCAGTGAGTTTTTCAGGCAAGCCTGAAAAGACTGAAGACTACTGGACACTGAGTAGAGATGGACGTGTCACTCTTTAAACACACACACACACACACACACACACACACACACACACACACACACACACACACACGTTTTTCAGAATCCTTAAAGCAGAATTCTTAACATCCATACAATAAAACATGCAAAATTCTTAACATCCATACAATAAAACATATTCCATACATTTTAAAGATGAGAGTGGCATGTGGGTCTATTGGCAAAGTGGCCCTGCCCTGCAGGAGATGACCGTAGTGCAGTAGCATAGCTCTGTAAATAGAAGCCCAGCTTCCCTTGGCTGTGGTGGGGGCTGCTCAGGGTGTGGCTACCCTCCTTGCCTGCACAGGGGATTCATTCATACCAGCAAAACCGGAAAAATCACAACCAAAGGCAACTGTGGAGGCAGTGGGAGCCAAGAGTACAGCATAAAGGAGTCAAGGAGTCATTTTCCACAAGGTGAGTCACCGGAAGCACTTGGCCTGGTCAGAGGCCTGTCTCACCCACCTTGGTTCAAAATGTAGGTCACAGTTTTTCAAGTTGGAACTTCAAGGATCTGAAGTGACAGGCCAGAACTCAGGCAGCAAAGGCAGAAGCAGAGTTCCTAAGAGGCCTGGAAAGGGGCCTCTCCCCCACCCCTAGGCCCCTCTAGGCTTGGCCTTCCCTCCAAAAAACCCTCCATTTTCATGAGCCAGGGTGAACTCAGACTACAGTGCCCAACCAGTTCTCTTCTGTGTTCTTGATCTGAGCCACCTGACAATCAAACTCCTAGGACAGTAGGCTAGGTTTTTGTAAAAAACAACTAAACTGGTCAACTCACCTAGCTCTGTTGACACAGGAGACCCAGTGGCAATCTCTCCAATCTTGGCCACTCCATCATAGTAGGCTTTTCCTGCCAGGGTCATAGCTAGACAGGAATGTGATACACAAAGTCATTACTCAGACAAGGACAGGAGAAAGTAACACAGGTTCAACATCCCAGTGTGCCTCTGGCTACAAGAAGTTCTAGACCAGGCTATTTTAGCAGGTGAGGTTCACAAGGCCCTGCCTGCTCCTGAACCAGTTCTAAGACATCAAACTGACATTGAGAACAGATACATTTTGGGGTATATACAGGTCAGTTATGTCATTACTCAAGGAGTCTTGGGTGCAGTGACCTAGGAACTTGTCTCATAAAAGCACATTTTATTGCTCTCTTAGAAAAGAGTCAGCTCCAGTGGTATAGGACTATAATCACAGCTACTCAGAAGATTGAGGCATGAGGAATTCAAAGTCTCCCTAGGCTTCAGAGTGAGCTCAAGGCCAGCCTGCAGAACTTGATGGGACTCTATCTCAAAATAAAAATAAATGGGCTGAAGATATGAAGAGTGGTTGCCTAGAATCCCTGGGTGTTCAGTTCCCAGCACTCATGTTGGGAGACTCACAACCTTCTACAACTGAAGCCATGGGGGAATCCAATGTCTCTAGCCTCTGTGGGCACCCTCACGTATACTCACACATACACAATTTAAAATAATTAAATTTAGCTGGGTGATGGTAGTGTATGCCTTTAATACTAGCACTTAGGAGGCAGAGGCAAGCAGATCTCTGTGAGTTCAAGGCCAGCCTGGTATACAAGAGCTAGTTCCAGGTCAGTTAGGACTACACTGAGAAAACCTGTCTCAAAAAAAAAATTAAATTAAAAAATTTAAACTGGCCGGGCGTTGGTGGCGCACGCCTTTAATCCCAGCACTTGGGAGGCAGAGGCAGGCGGATCTCTGTGAGTTCGAGGCCAGCCTGGTCTATAAGAGCTAGTTCCAGGACAGACTCCAAAGCCACAGAGAAACCCTGTCTGGAAAAACCAAAAAAAAAAAAAAAAAAAAATTTAAACTGTTTTCACCTTCAAACTGACCCTGGAGGGTATTTGGATAAAGTATGTACCCTTGTAGAGATGAAGGCTGCCCATTTTGTAAAGCTCTCTAATAAAGTCAGCATGGGACAGACAAATGGCAGCCTGGCTTCTTTTGCTTTACAGTCAATTTAGATTGAGAATGGTATATGACACGCAAGCATTTCAACAAGATCCAGTCAAAGCCAGTGGATTTTGGAGGGAAAAAAACTCCACCCTTCCCATAAACTCAGAGACTGCCTTCATACACAGTTTTTCCTGGAACTCCGGAGAGCATGGAGACTTGGAACTACAAGGGCCTCTGGTCCATTCTCTTTACCCGTGGAACAGTAAGTGCTTCACCACTGTGATACAGCCTCAGTCCTTTTATTGTTTTTCATTTTGAGACAGGGTCTCAGCTAAGTTGACTAGGCTTCCCTTGATCATGTAACCCTCCTGGCTTTATCCTCCCAAGTAGCTGGGATTACAACGCTATGCCACCAAACCAGGCTAAAAAGTAGGTTGGTATTTATTGTGTGTGTGTGTGTGTGTGTCTGCATATACTCATGAATGCATGTTTGGAAGATAAAAGACAACTTGGGTGCCATCCTCAGGAACATGGTCCACACCCCCTTTGGGACAGGGTCTCTCATTGGCTTGGAGCTAACCAATTAGTTTAGACTGACTGAGCAGTTCGTTCCAGTGATCTATCTGCCTGTCTTTCTGCCTCCTCAGTGTTGGAATTATAA